ATTCAAATTATACATACGTACTCATTTGTCAAAACTCATCAAATGATACCCACAAGATCTATATAATTCACTATATGCAAATGTTACCCTCCAAAAAATAAATACTGAGCTTGTCAACAATACTCATGCAAAAAGAGTTTAGGGGGGAAAATATGCTAATATCTGCAACTTGGGTTTTGCTGTAGTACAAAGGGTGACTTTCTATGAGTTGACACCACTCAATGGCATCTAACAACAGCATCTGCAACTTATTTTAAAATGCTCTTTTTTAAACAGATGGATTGAGTGTCCAGTCACCTGAAACAACAAAGAAGAAAAATCAAGAATGTGAGAAGCAAGCAGACTCTAGCACTAATCGCCTCCATGAGCCAGTAGGTCCTTGAGCATGAGATGAGAAGAGCTGGATGATGCCCTCCTACATTACGTTTCAGGGATATAATACGAGGGGGTCTGTCTTAACAGAAAGAAGGAAAACAAATGTGGAATAGTATTTCAAATGTCCAAAGAATCCAGACCTATAGTGACCCACTGGAGCTGTAGGAATGCTGGAGACTGTTGCCCTGAAATACTTGTCAAACACTGAGGTAAAACTGGCCTCTGAAGGCCTCTAAAAGAGTTTCATTCAAAGACTAAGAATGTCGTCTCAAAGTACTGTACTTTAAAAAAAAGCCTTTTTGACAATAGTCATTCTAAAGCACAGATGACAAACTTTAGGGGGCAGTGTGTCTAAACCAGAGCACAAATAGCAAGCATATTGACACTTGTGAAGAATGTAATCAATGTCACTATGTATCTACAGAAATTGTAAATGCGCACATGTTTTGATGCATACACTTTCACCAAAAATTAACTTTTAAAAAAGGTAGGTTGATGGATAGCTATATGGATATATAAGAAAGCAAATATAATATTAATTTTAAAATCCAGGTGAAAAGTTGAATGTTTATTATAAAATTATTTCTATAGATTTAAAAAGTCTTTTCTATACATTTGAAGTTTCTTTACAATATGTTGGGGAAAATCTTTATAATAGGCATAAATTGACACATGATTTTTAAAAAACAACCACTTACAAAGCAATTCCAATCAATATCTATTTTTAAATGTTTAACTTGTTTGGGGCTGTGGGGCAAAATTGAGTGGTATTTTTATTTTGTTTTCCATGTGCCACCAAACAATTCAAAACTAAATGCATACAGTATGAATCCAAAGAATGCTCTCCTTGCTGCCATCAAGCCAATGCTGACTCAAAGCTACCCTGCAGGGCAGGGGAGACTTGCCCCTGTGAGTTGCAGGATAGAAAGCCTCATCTTTCTCCTGAATTAAAATTGTAGCTACTTGTTTTAGTCAAAGTTCAAGAGCAATGCAAGACAGCTTCAAAAAGTCCTGCGGAAAAAGTCTATTACCTTTCAATTCCATTTTTCCATGAATTTTTCAAAGTCTGTATAATATATAGAACCAATTTCTCAGAATTGCTTTTACATGATAGGTCACATACAGGATAGATTTTACATGATAGGTCACATATTTGAAGAATTTATTCTTATATTTTTAACTACTATAAACATGTTTCAAGGAGCCCTAGTGGTGCAGCATTAAGCACTCAGTAACAAAGCAAAAGGTCAGTGGTTTGAATCCACCAGCCACTTTTCATGAGAACGATGTGGCAATCGGCTTTCATAAAGCTTTATAGCCTTGAAAAGCCTATGGTGCAGTTCTACTCTGTTCTATACGGTTACTATGAGTTGGAATTCAACTCAACCACAGTGAGTTGTTTGGGTCTCGGTTTTATAACCATCTTTCCTCTAATTTTTAAAAGTATTTACAAGCAATTTCACAATCAAATATTTAACTGAGTTAGAGAATTTGTGGGCATTAACATTTTTTAAAAGGAGCAAGATATTTAGATATGGTACATTTGGCATTTATTATAATGCAATCTGCTAAAAAATTATTTCAATAATGCACTATCAAAATTTTTACCTTTATTTTACTGAATTATCTCATTTATGGCACACATAAAGCATACAAATCAATACAATGTACTATCTTATCTTGTATTTGAAAGAACATGCATTAACAAGCACTTAACCATTTTTACAGTATATATCAAATAGAAATCATTTTATTATAAACTATTTAACCATGTCTATTTAAAATTTAACATTATGAAAGAAGGCACATGGAAAAATTCATATTTTAAACATTTTCACATTAGTTAAGATATAAAACAGTAGACAGAATCATTCAGAAAATGAATTAACTGTATGCAAGTAAGCTGATGTCTCATTTTATAAAAAAGTATTTCATTTGAATATTGTAAGAAATCTGCAGATATATGTTAGAAATGAAAGAGCTTTATTGACTTCTTGAAATGGCACTTTAACATGGTTTAGTTCAGAACACCACACGTTATAATAAAAACAATTAATCCATTTAAATTCACATGTAAATATAGAAGACCGAAAAGGTGACAGAAATAGTGTATCTACTATCTAAATGATTAGTGTATTGAATGGACTTATCTGCTGGCTCAGTATACATTTCAAATGTACTATATGTCTTGAGAATCAAATCTCTATTTTTAAAAATAAAATCAATCTTCCTGTGATGTTTTCCCAACACTACATTATCTAAGTGAAGTCCACGCGCAGCTCTCTATGCTAAGCCACCTGTCTGGTGATGTCAGTGTACTCGACTACAATGAGCACACCCCCGTGCCCCCTTAGTGAAACTTGTCCTCTACAACACCTGCTAATAGGAGCTGGATGAGCAACGTCCACATTCAAGTCTCAAAATAAAAAATGTAAAAAGCTTTAACCTAGAATTTCTCTCTCTAAAATATTCACAAGATGATAATAAATGTTACCTCCAAAAGGGGTTTTATTGTCAAATAACTAGTTTTCATTATAAAGAAATTCTCATAAGTGATACATTTATATAATGGAATGTTGTAGAAAAAGGAGAATTATACAATGGAGAGGAATTATAGGCTGCTGTAAATTCACTGCAATGAGTGCAATTCTGGTGCTTAAAACTATGTAAAAGTAAAAAATAAAATAAAATTACTTAAATTTTTTAACTATGTAAAAGTTATTAAAAATTCTACAGAGCCCCTAAATGCTAGCAAATTTGTTACCTAATACAATCCCCAACCCCACCCCCACTCCCCCCAAATACACCCCACCAACTTCTTAGGCAATAATGGAGAAAAAACTCACCACAGCAAACTATGTTGACATTATTTGGGGAGCAGCGAAACAATTTTCAAGGGCAACTTTGTTTATATGTGATTTTTTAGCTTCCACAAAACATATGTACTTTTTTAAATACAAAACTCTCCTAGAAATATCTCACAGAACAAATGTTCCATAGAACACACTTGGAAGAACTCTAACAGCTATACAAAGTCACCATTCAAAATGAACATACATGATTAACTCACAGTAGCATGCTGAGATGATGATATGAATTACATTTCATAAAGTAATTTGCTTTCAATAGTTTCAAAAAGCTAAAGCTTACTACTGATGCATTTAATAGAATAAATGCATTGAATGCATTGAAAAATAACCTCTCAAATTAGAATTATAAGATTCACTAGACTCAAAGAGAAGTCAGGACACAGATAAAAAAGAAGGCAAAAATGATTGATATTTATCAAAGCATTTCTAGCACAAAAATTTTAACCCTAACAGATATAAAATGTTCTATTTTTAATTTAACCAAATAGGCTGTCAACAAGCTAAAACAGTACCATAAAAGTCAACTTTACATTTGCTCTATTTCTATAACCAAAACCAAAATTCTGAGTTTAATTTCCTCACTATAATACCCACCTCTAAATGCTGCTCTAAAACTCTTCCTAAGTCATGTCATTCCACTAATCAAAAGTTGTCAATAGCTTCCCATTGCCTAGTCAGTTAAATGACTTTTTTTAAAAGCATTTAATACAATCTAGCACCAACCAACCTTCAAATTTATAGCCCTCAATGCACCTTTACCTACTCTTCAACACAAAATTTGAAAATTTAGTAAGATTTAGACACACGCTGTTCCAAACTACTTTTTTTTAGTACCTCTCAAATATTATCTGGCACCAGGATGACTGAGTTTATTAAACTGATTACTGAACCCCACCCTACTTCCCAGTGTATTCATCAGGTAAGAGAAATTACATTTCTAAACAATTATCAAGTGATGCTAAGGCTGCTGGTTCAGCAGCCACACTTTGAAAGTCATTTTTATATTCCAACAACCAGAAAATTGGAAGTCCACTGGCTAAATGAAGCCCACGCATATATTTCTACCTAGTATTTTTAAGACATGCTAATTTTGAACATGTAAGAATTAGAAAATTCAGTTTAAAAACTATTCTGACTTCTGGCTTTTTTCTACAATTAAAAATTCAGCTGGAACAAAACAGGAGCATATCATTTAATCAGGGGAGACGTCCTGGCCCAGGTTACCAGAGCCCTACTTGACACTCTCCACACTCACATCACCCATCATCAGGCTGTGCTCTGCTTGTCCACGCTGATCCCTTTCCCCTACTCTGTGTCTCATGATTTCATGTTGCTGACTCTAACTTCAAACACTTCCCCCTCTACTGCTGAAAGTCTGTCCTTGCTCTTAGGTGGTGTTGAGTCCCTTTATGAATCATAGCATCCTTAAGTGACAGAGTGGGATTTCCTGGGCTGTAATCGTTACAGGAGCAATTTCCAGGTCTTCTCTGCAGAGCCACTGGGTTCAAGCTGCAAACCCTAAGAGCTGTGCCATAAGGACTCCTTTGCTGAAATTCACCTTATTCCTTATCAAGTGTGACTTAAAGTCCTTTCTTAGGAAAAGCCCTAGCAAAAATAGAAATCCTTAAGTAATATAGAAGGAGCATCAGTGGCACTGTGGGCTAAGTGTTGACTTACTGGCTCAAAACTACCAGCTGCTCAGGAGAAAGATGAGGCTTTCTGCTCTCATAAAGATTCACAAACTGTTGCCCTGAATGAAAATCAACTAGATGGCAGTAGATTGGATAAAATACATATAAAAATTTAATGTAAAAATGATGTGTATTTTAAGAGTCAAGGTTTTACATATTCCCAGAAATAGCAAAGTGACACTATTTACACAAATAAAACATAAAAGACAAGATTATATGTTATAAATCTACATAATGTTTTTGAAATTTTCATTCTATGTACAATTTTAATTTGTCCATTCTGATTTTTACTATAAAAGAGATCTTTTTAGCATATTATAAATTATACAGCCAAAGTATACCGCAGCTCCATTAGAATATCATATCTTATTTTGCTGCCCAAAAAAAGGGGAGGGGGGACGAGTAGGGGAAGCTGACACAATTTCTCTGATTTCATAAACAAATAATCTTTCTAAGCAATTTAAAAAAATAAATGCTTCCTAGTTTTAAATCTGATGACTAAGGTGGAGGAGTTTTGCTTCTACAGAATGGGGGTGGCAGATCGATCACAAGGAGGCAGCAATGCTGAGTGCTGATTCTGAGTATCTTGTCTCTGTCATAAATAATTTTGCTATTCTAGTATAAATTGCGGACCTCTTCTGGACCTCATTTTCATTATCTTCAAGTTGAAAAGATGAAAGAAAGAAGAAGAAAAACTTTCATCTCTAAAATCCTAGTACTTCTCCTTCCAAAGATGCCAGCATATAAAAAAAAAATTTGCAGTCATATAGACAAGCTTCTTGTTTTCATGGTATTAAGTTAGCATGTCTTTAAAAAAAAAAGTTAGCATGTCTTTTAAATCAGACTGACTGAAACTTTTTCCACTTTCACAGCTCTAAGTTAAAATGCTGAAGGCTCTGACTTGAAGACTGTGTAGATGTGCTGACTGCTAACCCAGAGGGAGGTGGTCCAACCCACTAACGGATCCTCAGAAGAAAAAACTGCCAATCTGTTCCAATTAAATTTACAACCTAGGAAATCATATGGGGCAGTTCTACTTTGTCTCACAGTGCCAGGATGCGTAGAAATCAACTCGAGAACACACATCAGGTTGAGCATACAAAATTCTCTTTCATAAGTTGACAAACTTGTCGAAAAAATGGAGGAAAACAGCAAAATAAATAATCATGCTCGCCAATAAATACATTTGTATATCTCAAAGGAAAACTTAGGAAGTAAAAACTCATGTCAGTAAAGTTTTTCCACAACAGAGAACAACATTTTTTAAGAATATGCATTTTGCTTTAGGATATTTTTTTTTTTTGCTTTAGGATATTCTGAATGAATATTTGATGCTAAAATTTAAATTATTAAATTACAAGATTAAGACAGAATGTGTTTAGAGACCATTATATTCTGGTAAATCATGCCGTAAGCGAATTGCTTTTAGCTTCTCCACTTCAATTTTTGCTCTCAGCAGCTCTTCCTCTAGCTGCTGTCTTCGTCTCAGTCCATCCCTTTTTTCCTGAACATACAATGCAAAATTTTTCTGATTTTCTAAAATTATCTGATGCTCTTCTTTCAGCATTTGTAGAATCTGAGGATCACACCCTAATAGTGACCTAAAGCGTTCTCCACTCTCATGCTGAAAAAACTCATCTCTCCTTGGAATAGAAGATGGAGACAATGTCATTCTCGTATCAACAGAGGACAGTGATGGTGACAAAGATCTGTCCATAACATGTACTAATTCATGTTCTTCTCTTTGCTCTAAAGTATCACTCTGTTGAGAATTTAAAACCAGTGGAGGAGGTGGTTTCACATCTTCTTCTTGCTTCACCTCCACTGTAATAGCAGCAAGATGGTGATCCAACATTACCTGTAGTGAACTGGTACCAGCCTGTGCTTCCTGATCCATGTTTGCACTACAGCACACAAAAAAAGCATTGCAAAATGTGAACCAAATGAAGACAAAAGCATATTTATAGCATAATTTTCTATTTACTATATACTGGGTTACCAATTTTTAATGCTATAAAGAAAATTAGGAAACAAAATTTTAACCCTTAAGATAACAAAGTAACTAAGATTAGGATTTAAATGACATATACATACATATGTCTACACAAGGAGCACTGGTGGCATAGTGGCTATGAGTTGGGCTACTAACCAAAAAGACAGCAGTTCAAAACCACTAGTTGCTCTGCAGGAGAAAAGACAAAGCTTTCCACTCCTTTAAAGAATTACAGTGTCAGAAACCCCCAAGGGCAGTTCTACCCTGACCTATAGGGTCACTCACTATGAGCTGGAATCAACTCAATAGCAGTTGAGTTTTAATTTTTATGTTGGGCTTTTTAAAAAGATAGCACTAATACTACAAAAGCCAATGAGAAGAGAAAAAAAGACAATGAGGTCACTAAAAAAGAGAAATAATTTTCAATGCTTATAAAGAGACACAATCCTGAGGTTCTTAGCTAATATAAAGGGCAGTAAAATGGATCTGGATTTGTTATCTCCACATCTCAGTCCTAGATTTCCTGCTCTGCTTTCCTTCACTAATCTTAGTCTTTTCAGTAAAGTTCATCCAGAAAGAAGTCTTATGCCCATCCCTTGAGCTCCAACAGGAAGGGCAAGGCCATGTACAGGCTAAGTACTGATTTCTGCATGTGTCAAAAAAGAAAGTCAAGATTTTGTATGGTTTTATAAAACTCCCCAATGGTAACGTTCTTCTCCATAATATTAAGTCGCTATCAGTTAAAATCAAGTCAACATTACATAACAACTAGGATAAGCTAACTGCCATGTGATTCCCTAACCACTCTACCTCCAGGAAAGGGTATTTCCCCTTTATCTACCCTGTTCACAAGAGCAAAGGTTTTTGTTCAGCACCACAGAGCCAATGCCTAGCATAATACTATAGAAGGAACCTAGTATACTAGAGTAGGTGATCATCATCTGTTAAATGAAGAATGATTAAATAATGTGTTTTTATTGCACTGTTTTTAATGGCCTACATACAATATAAGATCTGGTGATTCACTGGTTAAAGCCTCAGATGCCAACTGAAAAGTAAGTGGTTCACACCAACCAGTGGTTCCCTATGAGAAAAGACCTTGAGATCTGTTCCCATAAAGATTACAGCTCAGGAAACGCTATGGGGCAGTTCTACTCTGTTCTACAGGATTGCTGTTTAGAATCAACTCAGCGGCACACAATAACAATATTTATAATATAGTCTATGAGTGAAGTAAATAATTAGCAAGGTCATCTGCTAACTTAAACACAGGGGTTCCAAGTCCACCCAGAGGTACCTCAGAGGGGGTCTGGTGATCTACTTGTGATAAATCAGCCAATAGAAATCCTAAGGAGCACAGCTCTACTTTGACATAGTTGGGGCTGCCATGAGTCAGAACTGACTCAACTAGAACTGGTTAGATTGAATATATTGAAAGTTTATATTGTTTACTGTAATTTCCATAAAGTAGACATTTCTATTAGAGGCAACTGCAATTTTATTATAACTTAACCTTTGATATAATATTTTATGACATTATAAACTTAATGTGTACTATAATCCTACTGTCTTTTAAAAATAATTTGGTAGATATCAATAAGCTGTGAAGAAATAATCTTGTCTCTTGACTTGTTTTTGTTTTCTTTCAAACTATGTTTCTACCTAACTTGAAAGTAAAAGTTATGAAGGAGAATTAAATTATTGGAACTAATTTCCTGAGAACATTTTACAAATGCTAAATAACATATTTGATAATGATTCTACATGAGTTAAAATGCTGGAGCAACTTCAAGTAAACTTGAGAAAAAAGTGAAAAATCCCAATATGATTTCACTCAGTAATGGCATTAAATAGCCAGAAGTATCAGATAGTTCTCAAAAAGATACATGTGAAATAATTAAGCAAAGTATTTAGGTTATATAAACTCCTTCATTTGAACTATATTTTTTTAAATAATTTTATTATTTTCAAAGCAAAACAATGAGCTTAATATAATTAAAATAAGTAAGATTTGCTCCTAATTCTAAGAACTCATGTGTAAGGGGTAAAATTACATATGAAAATTAAGATGGTTTTTAAAATCATTTTATTGGGGGCTCTTACAGCTCTTATAACAATCCATACATCAATTGTATCAAGCACATTTGTACATCGGTTGCCATCATCACTTTCTAAATATTTTCTCTGTTTGAGCCCTTGGTATTAGCTCCTCTTTTTTCTCTCCTTCCCCCACCCTCCCACCCTTGTGAGCCCTTGATAAATTATAAATTATTATCATTGTCATTGCTTACACCATCTGCTGTCTCCCTTCACCCACGATTCTATTGTCCTCCCCCCACCTTTTTTGGGGGTGGTGGTAGTTATACTTCAATCAGTGTCATCGGTTCTTCCTTTTCTCCCCATTCTGTTTCTGAGGGGTTATCTGTCCTGGATTCCATGTGTCAAGACCTCTTGTCTGGACCAGTATACATGCTCCAGTCTAGCTGGATTAGTAAGGTAGAACTGGGGTCATGATATTAGGGGTGAGGAACCCTCAAAGAACCACAGGAAAAATAAGTTTTTTTAAATCTTCATAATTACTATTTCAAATTAATATGTATAATAGAGTATGATTCATAATTAACAGGTAATATATTTCCATGTAATTTCATAGGTATTATATCCAGAATATTCTATTCCATTTTCTGTAAAAAGTTACAAGTAAAGCATAGAAGAGTCAAAGGAAATGCTTTAGATAAAGCCACAAAAATGATTAACAGGGGAGGGGCTTCTAAAAGTTAAGAGTCTGTATTCTGAGGATCTAAGAGGTTACCAAAACAGAGCATAATTTTCTATCAGGGAATGAGAATAATAAAGCTATAAATCAATGTGAATTACAGAAATAAACAGCAGTAATATATTTTAATAATTAAACAATATGTGTATAAACAATTATGTTTTCCTCTTAAGAAAGGAGCTTGATGAAATTAACAAACATGTTTATAAAAGCATAATTAAGTTTTCAGAACAACTGTAAACTTATGAGATAATTGTGAAGATTGAGATATAATCAGATAAGTATAAGCACCTTAAATTATTAAATAAAAAAGCTTCACAGAGAAAATGGCAGTGTAGATAAACTAACATAACCATTTAAATGGCACTTAAAGCCTGAAAATTTGATATTATTTAAATAGCATGTATATTAATGCATCTATCAATCAAATCATTTTAACAGAGAAATCATGATGCTCCAAAAGATCCAACTGCCCAAAATGTACATATTTATTCATTATCTCCTTATATTATCACTGTATTTTCAAATATGCACCTAATTGACCTATAGATTCTATGTACAGTTCCAAAACCCCAATGGTAAACAGCCTTATACTTATAATGCAAAAAGACTTTTTTTTTCTTTTTATGGCTCAAGAGAAAAACATGTTTGAATAAATAAAACAATTTTTTTTAACTGTAGTGCTTTTTTTTAGACCTCCAGCATACTAGGATTTATTTTTCATTACTGAATGTTTTAAACAGTGGCCCCAGGAATTAATGTACTGTGTAGCCATGCCTGGGATTCCCACTCGTAGTATCAACTAAAATCTATAAGTTAATAAGAAACTAGATCGAAAATATTTCCCTAGTAAACTATCAAATAACAAAAATGTTTGGCTAACAAGTTGCTTCTTTTTTTTGCAGGTGGGGGGTGAGCGGCGATGGTGGTGGTTTTGTTTTTACCTGTTTTCCTCTTAACTTGAAAGGAACATCAATCATTTGCTTCTATGACTCTTCCACCAATAGGAAAGCACATGGTAAGTAAGGTTTTGTTTGAAAGGTTCCTCAGCTAACAAGAAGGCAATTAAATGTATAGAATATAATTTACTTAAATGGTTCAGAACAAGAAAGTAGCTGCCATTTTTATATCTAGCGAGGAGTTAGGATTTGAATTAATTGAAAAATAACAATTACGAAGACTTCCCGGCAAGTATTTATATAGAGAGCACAAAGGTTTCCAAAAAGCTGTTTCAAACCCTGAAAGAACCCAGGTTCCTCTTTTGAGTATACTAAAATTGTCTGATTTCCTTGCAAAGCAGTTTGGGAAAGCTTACCTTTCCTGTATGAACCATGATCAAAGTGAAACTAGATCACTAATGATCACTGAAAAGTATTTTAAAACCTTTTATTCCATCATCTGATCCCTACTTGGGTATTAGTTCCCTTACCATACAATCTTTATTTTAAATGTAAGTTAGTTTTAAAAAATTTTTTTAATTAATGTAAGATACAATATTCCCATTAAGTTTACTTAATTGCTGCTTTAAATTCCATTTTTGTGGCTCAATGCACAGATTCAATAAGTATAGACAGAGACCATTCTTAAAATAGTTAAGATTATAAAAGCCAAAGTTCCATTTCTCTTAAAACAGCTTCATGCAAATTATTCATAAACTTGAAAATCCTAAGGAAACGTGATCTTAAATAAAAAGACAAAGAGGTCTCTCTCAAAAGCTACTTAAAAGCCTAAAAAGTTTATGAGGTGAGGTTATAAAATGCATTCCATTTAGTCCTCTCCAACCTTTACTTTTTAAAAACTACAGGGGAGGGGAGGACAAAGGAGGAAAAGGGGGGAGGGGAAAGCAAATTGTGGCTTAAATCAAAAGCAGGGGAAAAATTCCTTAAACCTTCACTTTTCCTTTGAAAAATGCAAAACAAAGCCACCATTCATTGCGCCCACTGTGGGAATGCTTAATGCATATCTCCATCACAACTAAACCAAAACCCGAAAGATAGGCGGCGCCATAATTTTCCACAAGAGAAAATAAAGCTTACCTTTGTATGTGGTTCCTGTCTCTTACCAGGCAAAAACTGGAAATCTGGGGAATCATCTCCATAACTTTCTTGGTTGGCTCAGAAATATTGCTTTTTAAATCTGACTGGGTCTCTTTTTGCTGCAATAGTTCCTGTTTGGCATATTCTTTGAGCCTTTTGTACAGGGTGCGTAGGCCCTGAGCCGTTCGAGGAGGGCGGTCTACTCCAACTGCATTATAGTTAACTGCTATGATATCCCAGCATCTATTCTTTTCCACTATTACTGAATGTTTATTAGTGTGTTCTTCGAGAATTTTAACGTATGGCTTCACAAGCTTTAGCAGATCAAGCTTTTCAGATAAGGTAAAATTGGACGATCTAGCCTTTCCTACCATTGTTCTGTTCAAATTAAGTAGGCAGTCTCTGAAACCACCATGCAGCCTCCAGCTCTGCTCAGCTCTTTTCACAAACAGAAAAAGATCAGGCTTAACTAGGCTAGCCTCATTTAGGCCCACGCCTACAGGGGAGGGTTTATTAAAATTCCTCCAGCTTAAGCTGACGCAGGTTCAGGAAATCTGCTTAAGCCCGCCTGACCTACATAAAGCTTCTTACTGAAGAAGACAGGGAGGCACAAGCAAAACACACTTGTATATAAAGAGAACAGCGCGAGATAGGATTCAATACACAAAGGTCTAGACTAGAGATAAGCATGGAACACAGCTAAAAATTAGCTAATTTAGGGAGACTATCAGATTTCTGCACGTGTATGCCTAGCTGATAGACTGGAGCTACACTGCAGTATCACTTTAATAAAAACAAAAGAGGCACTGTGTTTTTTTGTGGTATTTGTTTACAATTCCAGTAGACAGAAAAATTAAAACCTAAAGATATGAGCGGTGAACGGAGGAATTTCCTCACAGAGCCCCTAATCAAGGTTTCTGAGCTGCAGGGCTCTCTTACAATATTTGCATAATGCTGGTCCTGCTGTCAATCAGGAATTGCATATCCTCTAGCTAGTTAGGTTACACCCAGACCAGGCTCTTCCATAAAGCTAAGCTTCTCCTTCAGCTTACGGGCTACCTCCCCACCCCCACCCCCACCCCCATGCTTTTCCCCCACAGTTATTTCAGAAGAAATTTTTGTTGAATACTAAACCCAAAATGCAGACAAAAACATGTTTTAACCACCATGGATTATTCCAGCTATGAGTGAGTATGTAGCCTGCTTTATCGTGTATAAAAAACCCTCCATTCACAGTGAAACAGCATAATCAAGCCTAAGTCTGCACACAACCAAATCACATCTACTGTTATCAGAGAGCAGACTGTTATTCAGCTAGCCTCACTCACACAATTGGAACCCGGAAAGGGAACTGCTAGTGTGGCCATGTGGCCAGTTTGCATGTTTTGAATCTATTTTCTAATTAGAATCTATTTTCTAATACCTGTGTGAAAAGATGATAAATAATCATGTAAGCAACATAAGTCTTTTCTCCAGCTGTACATGTTTCTTCAGATGGGAAGAATTAAAGCCTACTTAATTCCGATCAATCAAATAAATATTGATCACCTATTACGGATGTCACCTATTACCAATGTTCCTAAGCAGTGTGCAAGTTATAAGGAACTCAAAGGTGAATCTCCATTGAGTCCCTACAAAGATTGCAAAGAATGAGACTTACTGCTATTAGGTCAGTTCAGACTCAGCCAAATCTCATTATCCTCTTTTCCATTCTTTTATAAAAACCAGACAATTGAATGGAAGCCTTATATGATTTAAATTGTTCAGGGTGAAAATTAAAGGAGTGCTCAGCGGTACTGTTAGGTAGGCCAGCATAGGACTGGGGGATGTCCATTAACGCGTGCCCAGAGGGTCAAGCTAGGGAAACAAAGGAATGCGCACCGCACATGTTCAGGGTTGCCGGTAGGCAGGGGTGGGCGTGAACTTGAATTGGATCACCTAGCCAGGTAAATTCAATTCAGCCAATGGGGTCGACCAGGGGTCTTCCACCACGCCTCCCTGTGGAATCCTTGAAAAGGCAGAAGCCCGGAGGGGAGGGAGAAAAGGACAAGAACCGAGACGGGAGGAGAACTTAGAACGGAAGAGAGAGAACTCAGGCGCAGAGAGCTTTGGCACGCGTTGCGGGACGCAGAGCCGCTTCCAGCTAGGCCGCATGTCCGGGAGGAGCCCCTTGGGTGCCGTGTAAACCTGAAACTTCTTCTAACTTTCATAAAACTCACTTCGATCACGAACCAGGCTTCGGCGTGAATTCTTTCTCGCGCGGAGCCAAGGACCGAGGTATAAATCTAGCTCCAGAGAGATCTAACAGTACCTTTCCTTGTCTTAGTGCAGTTTTACATCTCAGGCAATTGTAGCAATCTAAAGTACTGCAGATGATTATTGTCCACAGAGAAGCAAATCACGATCCACCAGAAAAGCACTCTGGCCACAGGTAAAGTCAGTCAAGCTCTTTCCGAGGTTTTTTTTTAAAGAGTGAAAAAAGAATCACGGAAAGCATAGAGTATTTCGTTATAATATTTTCCACTGTTTTTGGACGTCATAGATATTAATATTAAGAACTGATGGTAAAGATACAGAAGGAATTGGCTGTCCACTTCAAAGAAATTAGCCAGTGAAAGCCTTTTGAACAGCAGCGGAATATTGTCAGATACCGAAAACCTAATGAACAGAAGCAGAACATAGTCAGAGACGGTGCTGGATGATAAGCCCTCAGGTCAGAAGGCACTAAAAATATGACCAAGAAAGAGCTGCTTTCACAAAGCAGAGTCAACCATAATGACATGGACAGAATAGAATCTTTAGGATCTTCAATTGCTGATGGGGCATGACTCAAAATGAAAACAGCTGCAAACATCTATTAATAACTGGAAGAAGGACACAGTGGCTGCAATGGTGGGCTCAAACTTATCAACCAACCACAGGGAGGATGGCCCAGGAACAGACAAGGCTTTGTTTTATCGTACCCAAGGTCACTATGAATCAGAACAAACTCAACGGCATCCTAACAAAAAGAAAATAAAAGTTCATGGAAAATATGATAACTCGAAGACAATGGAACTTTTCAAGGAAGTTATTTGTGACATCCCCCATATATACTAAAAATTTTATTTATAAGATTGGCAACATTTTTGAAAGTTAAAAATGTCCAAGAGTGAGCAAAGATGTAAAGCAATACTCTACTGTTTATGGGAATGTAAAGTGGCATTTTGGATGATAACAGATCAGTATTTTACCTGTGCAGTAATTTTACAGACTCTATTTTAGAAAAATATGCACAAATGAGCACAAAGAGCAATGAAGCATTCTATGCAGTGCCACAGCACTGGACGCAACTATTTTCAGTTGGAAAAGAGTTAAAAATCACTAGGGTAATTCCATACTATAAAGTCTACTCTAGGAAGCATTAACGTCAAAGACATAAGTCCAGCTCCAAGACACAGGATGGAGTAAAAGAAAATACAAAACAACAAGGCTGCTGTTGTGGCCTTAGAGTCCATTAAAACACACAGTGACTCGATGTGTGCAAAGTAGCATACAGTATAATCCTATTGTGCATACAACAAGCACTAAAGGGTAAATTTCTTTGGTAAAGATGTACTTCGTAGGCATAAGAAACCATATCCAACAATGGCCTAGAAGTCTCTTCTCTGTTACGGTAGTCACTAGCCACTTGTAACCATCAAGTACTTGAAATGTAATTAATGGAACTAAGGAACTAAATTTTAATTGTATTGAATTTCAAGTAATAAAAACTTAAAATTTATAAAGTGAGTCACTGGTTTCCATTAAACACACATTATTTTGGAAGGAGCCCTGGTGGTGCAGTGGAGTGTGCACTGTGCTAATAACCACAGTCAGCAGTTCAAACCCAATAGCTGGGAGAAAAACGACGTTTTCTGCTCCCAGAAAGATTGACAATGTGGGCAAATCCAAAGGCACAGTTCTGCTCAATCTGAGAGGGTCACTACTAGCCAAAATCAATCCAATGGGTTTTTGTTTTGGTTACTGTTTGAGCAGGATTACATTCTACCCTCTTCATAATATATGATCGTTTCTAGTAAAGCAAATAATAACTGCCCACTGAGTCCATTTCACCAAATTGATTTGATTGAATGAAATTTTTTCTATCCACTAAAGTTATAAGCATTTAGATTTATTTGACTATTTCATGCATATAAAACATTACATTGATAACACATAAATTAAGCACAAAAGCCCAAACCCACAGCCTTTAGAGGATTTTAACTCTTAGCAACACTGTCAGAACAGAACACTGACAGAACAGAACTGTCTCATATGGTTTCAGAGACTGCCTATATAAAAGCTTTTTATAAATTACAATAATGTTATAGAATCTACCTCAGAAAAGCATTCAAATGAGTAGAAATGTGTACCGGCAGAGCAACTGGTGGGTTTGAACCTCAACATTGCCCTTAGCAGCCACAGCTTAACCCACTGGACCACCAGGGCTCCTCTGTACATTGTGAGTGGTTATTAATTTTGAAATATTTACTATACTAAATCTATTATAATTAAATTATTTTCTAGTTTAAAAATAAGGATAAAAATTTTCATTGAAAAAAAAAAAAGGGTAGAATCAATACCAAACTAAATAAATAAAACTCACTGCTATTGAGTTGATGCTGACTCAAATCGACCCTACATAGATTACAAAATTAGTATTCTCATCAAAACAGGAAAGTAAAATGAGAGGGTGTGACCCATAGCCCTAGAGGGGACAATACTGGAGACACAGTGTGGAAATCCTGCCCAATCTGATCCCACCACACAGAAGCAAATCACTAAGGGTGTTCAACAGAACAGCAAGGGAACAGAGCAACGAAGTCCCCAGGGAAAACCAAAAATAGTCTTTGGGGCCAGGGCTTGGCACCCCAACAGACTGGACTCGAAAACACTCCTAAAAGCCAACAAACAGTCCTTGAATTAACTACAAGCTTTTCTTGTTGTGTTTTGTTTTGGTTTTTGTCATTGGTTTGTTGTTGTTTTGTTTGCTTTTGTTGCTTGGTTTTGTTCTGTCTTGTTTATGTGCATGTTATTATCTCCACAGGTCTGTCTAAATAAGTTAGGCTGGATGAACAATCTGGAGGAGAAAACAACAGGACCGACAGTTCTGGGGGGAAATGGGAGAAGGGGAGGTGGGGAGAAAAGTAGTGGTGTTAACAAACCCAGGGACAAGAGAACAACAAATGATCCAAATCGGTGGTGAGGAGGGTGTAGAAGGCCTGGTAGGGCGTGACCAAGGGTAATGTAACCTAGAGGAATTACTGTAACCCAAATGAAGGCTGAACATGATAGTGGGGCAAGAGGAAAGTCAAAGGAAATAGAGGAAAGAGCTAGGAG